ACGCTAAGAATAAATCCAAAGACATTAGTTTCTTTGCATGACATGAGCAGGTTTCATATCCAGCAACATTATGTGAATTATATAAATGACTTAAAACAGCTTTTTCTTTAAAAGGGAAGTTTCAAGTTCTGGTAAGTATAAAACTATTTGAAATCTTTATTTTGAAAACAATCTGTGTTTAGCTAGTTGTATTTTATTTTTCATTTTATATCTAGGTTACATAGTTCTATCTTTAACCATTAGAAAAAGGAATAATATTGCTAATAATTATTATCTTTTATCCAAATATGCTAGAAACCTCCACAATTTGCTGATATTGAAGTAGGAGGGAGCTTCAATATCAGGATATCAAGAAATTCTAGTGTATTGAAATAGGGGTAAAGTTTTTTTTTCTTCTGATTATAAGAGCACTATTTACTTATGCATAGAGGAATTTGAGCAATCCATTAAAGAAGGAAGCTGCTTTTAATTCAACAATGCTGTGACCACCATAGGGGAAAATTGGTGTATTTCCTTTTTGACCTCCCACCCTCAACCCACCTCATGGAGTTATGATAAACTGTGAAATGAATGAATTTTTCTTGTAATGTCAAATCTCTGAATTGCCACAGAACTAACCTTATGAATATACCAATGAGGTAGAAGTCTACTTCATTCTTTCTGAATTGCCTGAATTCCTAGTGTGTAGTAGAAAATTAAATTTTAAAATGTAATTAGTGAAATGACGCACGTGCATCTTGTTATTCTGCAATGTGTTTTGTCAAGTGAATGGTGGTAAGAAGGTACAGCCCTCTTGGTAGAGCAGCTGTTTAGCTCTGAGCAGTACAGGTATTGAGAACAATGATGGCACAGATAAGCAGGGTCATGGGTAAACCTAGTGAACCAAAAGGTGTTAAAAACATCTGCTTAGGGTGCCTGGGTGGCTCAGTTGGTTAAGCGACTGCCTTTGGCTCAGGTCATGATCCTGGAGTCCCGGGATCGAGTCCCGCATCGGGCTCCCTG